TAGACCACAACAACTGGATCTTCCCCCTTCTGCTCCAATATCCTTTCCAGCCGCTCAGAGATATCCCTTACCCTGGCACCGGGCAGGCAACACACCATGTGGGACTCTCGATCCTGCTTACAAAGGATACTATCTATCCCCCTAATTATAGAATCCCCTATAACTACCACCTGTTTTTTGCTCCCCCCCCTCTCGAATGGCCTCCCGCCCCACAGTGCAGTGGTCAGTTGGCTCATCCTCCCTGCGACCCTGTTTCTCATCCACACAGGGAGCAAGTACCTCATACCTGTTGGACAAGGTCAAGAGCTGAGGCTCCTCTGTTGCTGACTGCAGGATCTCTTTACCTGCCTCGCTTACAGTCACACCCTGCTGTCCCTGGCCACTGACCAAATTTGAATTACTTAATCTACCAGGTGTGACTGCCTCCCCTCCCCCTCCTGGATGTGCTGCAGTGTTTGAAGCTCCGAGTCCAGCTCATCAACTCTGAGCCAAAGTTCGTCGAGCAACCAACACTTGCTGCAGATGTGGTCACTGCAGTTTGCAATGGGATCAGCCAGTATCCACATCATACAGATACAACACATCACCTGTCCAGCTATTTCTACTTAGTTATTTACTTTATTAATTTATTATAATGAGTTAATTAAATTTGTTGAGAAAGAAAAGAAAGATTTACCTTACTTTACCGACCCTCCACAGTCTTCTTTTTGGTTAGAGGAGGAGGATGGGTGTAGTGTTTCGGGTTTAGCCAATGCCCGAATATAATAGTTCACTTCCTGGCTTGTGCTCTCACCACTCCCGCCACTCGAATCATAGTGAATCATGCAGTTATTTTGAAGCATTTGATTGCCCTAAGTATTAAATGGGACTGATAATGTTTGGCACAATACCACTAATATTTGGCATAATACCACCTTGTCCAGAACTCTGAACTGTTCAAAGGCTCTATCTATTTGAGGTGTTGTACTTCCCTGTGAGTGCAAACTGGCTGATAAAACAGAGGGCTTTGAGAAGAGCTGTTAGTAGCTGCACTGTAGGAAAACACCAAAGAACAAAGCGAAGATGAAGCTTTTATTAGGCATTTTCATCATTTCTACCTATGTTTCTGGAGGTGAGAATTTTTAATAGATGTGTTGCTTCTAATATCTTCTATTCCAACTGCTTAAATATAATCTGCTCAAGCTCCTGACCTGTGAACTGTTCCTTCAAGTTCGAACATTATACTTACCATTGCACCAGTTAAGAAAGTGACTGGTTGAAACTAAAGGATAACAGATAAGTTAGCTGAACAACTTCATTTTTTAAAGCTGCTGCCATCATTAACAAGGGAGAACTTGTCTAGACAGGTTTGCCAGTTTTGGTGGGTGACAGAAAGTCACAAAGATTTTTCAAGCACTTGTCATAACTACAAAACCTGAGTTTCTTGAAGACAAACTCAAGTAGTGGATAGTCTGGTTTTGGATATTATTTGCATTAACAGGCAGTAGTCATTTGATAAATTACTGTTGACCTAAAGGAGACTGTTAGCTAACAGCATAGCTCATGGAATCAGAAACAAAAAACTTGATTTGGTTAGGAAGTTGCTGAACTGATATCGAGGGAGAACAGGATCTTAAGGATAATTTCAATATTATGTGTTGCTGAAATATTAATAGATATTCCAGGGCAGCTGCTGCATTGAAATAAGACTTGAACCTCTTCTGCGCACAGTTAGTTGCAACATTTGATCTTTGTTCTGACAGACTACATTCCAATCATTAAGACATAAGAGAAAATACAGCTTCTGTTGTACATAGACATGTAGAGATAAACTTTGGGTAGCTCAGTATTTGACAACGTTCACACTATTTAATATTATTCAAAAATGCGAACATAACTTTTCTACAGTCTAACCCATTTGCTGTGAGGAGTGGCATTAAGACATCACTTAAGTATGTACAGATAAGGGCTAAAAGGAGATCAAATATACATTGATGAGAGAAACTTTCAAAGGCCTTTGAAGGAACAGCAATATGGACAGGGGGCCAAGTGTTCTAATATTTTTTTCTTGCTCTCATCTTTCTGTGGATAGAACAAATGTTCAGCATAGAAGCAGCTCTTAGTTTCACTGCAATGTTAGGTATGTTATTCTGCTTTTCTTTAAGAACTGGCAAAATGTGATGACAGAAAAGATACGTTCTCAACCTTTTATTTGCAACATTATAATTAGGTTGTTAAAGGAGCCGTATTACTTCTATCATGCCAGCTTCCCTGCAGCCACTCCAGAAGACTTCAGATTCACTGACAGTGGAACTACATGACTCTGGTGAAAGACAGGATGCACTTGTAGCCTTGACTCTTGTTAGATCTCGTATTTTCAATGAGTCCGAGTCGCGGGGCAGATTCAGGTGATCTTTATTTGCGATTTGCAGCATACAGCAAGAATGGCGATAAAGGCACAAAAGCATTTTGATTTACGCAATTTAAACTTAAGGTGGACACGGCCCTCCCCTTTTTAGTTACTATTGGTCAGTGGAGCCGAGTTGTCCATTTATAATTGGCTCTCAGCTTGCTACTCAGTGAGAGGGACAGGCTTTTTGTCCATCCCTGCTCACGATGTTTTCACAGACTTTCTTATCTTTCTGCACCGTTTTAATTGCCAATTATTTAGATCAGGAACTTTTAAATTTCTCATTACAGGGAATTGTTTCATTTGTCATTTTGGAGCATTGCTTATCTCTGGCTCCTTCAATTCTTCAAACAATGGGAAGAGATATTCCGCAGGAAAAAGAAAGGTTATAGTTTGCAATGAGTTGTAGGAGAAGGTTTGATGGGGTGGAGGGGGGTGGGGGAGGGGCGATGGTGGGTGGTGGTGTGCAGGGGGTTGGCGTTTGCATTTTTACTGTATGAAATTGGCTTGCGTCTTTTTTTTTTAGTGTATTCTAGTTTGAATATTGGATATTGGCTTTCAATGATGAAACCATGATCAACATCCTGGTCATCTATTATTGAACAGAAACTCAACTGAATTCTCCATATGAGTACAATTGCACCACAAATAGGTCAAAGGCTCAGAATATTGCAGCAAGCAGCTCACCTCCTGACTACCTAAAGCCTGTACACAAGGCTGAAGCGAAGAGCCAGATGGAGTATTCCAACCCTTCCTGGATGAATGAAACTCCAACAACACTAAAGAAGTTTGACCCCATCCAGGGCAAAGCTCCTTGTTTGATTGGCACCACATCCACAAATATCCAAACCCTCCTCCATCACCAACACTCAGCAGGAGCAGTGCTTACCATCTGCAACATGCACTGCAGGAATTCACCAACAATCCTTAGACAGCACCTTCCAAAACCATGCCCACCAGCATGTCGAACGACAAAGCCAGAAGATACATGGGAATCTGATGATGTTTAAGTTTCCCATGAAGCCACTCACCATTCTGAAATCGAATTATGTCACCGCTTCTTCAGTGGAATTCCCTGGAACTGCCTCCATAATGGCACACGGATTACAATGGTTCAGGAAGGCAACTCACTATCACCTTCTCAAGAGCAACTAGGGATGGGCAATAAATGCTGGGCCCAGCCAGCGATGCCTGTGTCCCACAAATGAAATATATGTATATATATTATAAATAACAGTAGAACATAAGTTTTGATTGCACTATTTAGGATTGAAGCGAAGGTTCAGATTAAAAGCTCAGTTCTGACGAAGGGTCACCGGACCCGAAACGTTAACTCTGTTTTCTCCTTCACAGATGCTGCCAGACCTGCTGAGCTTTTCCAGCAACTTTGTTTTTGTTTCAGATTAAAAGCTGCTGGATGACAATCTCTGGAGGTGCTCTGGAAGGTAAATGGTAGTGGTGATTAAAGCTGAACTTGCTCTGAATCTCATGCTGATGCCCATGTTAGACTGAAGCAAGGTAGATCGTTGCCACAAGTAAGAAGTCCATTTGATTCATCATGACTTTCCTTGCTTTCAGAAAGAGCCGTTCAAGGCCTTTGCTCCACATTCTGCAGATATTTCATTTCAGATAGTGACCGTACTTCCTTTTGAACACCATGATTGAACATCCCTCCACTATACCGTCAGGAAAAGCCCTTCAGATGACGTCCAGTCATTCTGTAAATAAGCTTTTCTCCCTGTCATCATTGTTTAATTTGGCATTTTTGAGCATTGCTTATCTCTGGCTCCTTCAATTCTTCCATCAATGGGAAGAGATATTCCGCCGGAAAAAAAGTTATGCATTTGCAATGAGTTGTAGGAGAAGGCTTGATGCTGTGCTGTCGTGCTTCTGTGGACAACATAGGCTACTACCACAAAGTTTAATTTGGCTGATTATCATTCAATTCTAGCAGATGACTTTATCCTAGACAGCGTTGTTTATTCTCAGCTGTACATATCCAGGCATCAAATACTCAACACGTACGTTTGAAGTGATGAAAAGTCTTTGCATTGGCGAGAAGTGGTACCTTAACAATTCCCTGATCAGAGCGTGATGAAGGGGGTGTCTATGAAGTTTCTTTTCAAAGGCGACCACCGTGTTGTTGAGAGAGGAAGTCGAGAGATTGGACAATGGCACTGAAAGCAACGGACTGGTTTCACATTCTTGATTGAAATAATCATCCTCTGACCCTTCTGTGGCATGAATGTTCTTTGCCATCCTTTAGCACAGGCACTGAAGCTGCTCAGATGCAAGTGCAAGCGGGTCCTGGCCAGCTGCATTGTTTGAGCAATTGTGGATGAACCTGAGCGCCATTCAGAAAGGCCAGGTATAAACAGCTAAAGTGGAAATTGAACCCAGGGAGTCGCAACTGAGGGAATAATAAGCCTCATCATGACTGTCGAAAAGAGGAACAACATTTCGATTTCTATTTCTATTTCCTCTGCACATTTTTGTTACTGGCTGTTAACAGTTCGCTGTACTTTGTGCAAATCGTTTCCGGTCTGACGCCCGGAATTCGGGCCAGTTCGCGGCGCCTCTTTCGAAACTACCTTCAGTGATCTGCCCCAGGAGGAGAGGGTCGGTCTCTGAATGCAGAGGAGACTGGAGGGGTGCATTCGGGATGGCGAGACTGCCACTTACGACGATCTCCGTTTGCTTGTTAATGGCAGTAGGTAAGGTGCACTTCCTCATACGAACTAGTATAGATATTTTCCGACATCACCTTTGCAGGAATGCTTTTAAATTTCTCTGGAGAAGGTAAGACTTGTAGCTGTGGGCCCTGGCTCAGAGGTAGGAACACTAACAATTGCAATCTATCTGGGAACTTGGAGAAACGTGACAACAAGCGATTGTTAAAGAGTCAGAGTGATGTACATGATTTTAGAGAAATATATATATTGCGGAGAGAGTTTCTGTTTGCAACTTCCTTAATGATGTTTATTTCTCCAGTTGAGCCCCAGTCGTTCACGATCCAGGCCGAACACAGTCGGATTAATGCGAGTGTCGGAGAAACGGCGTACTTTTCAGTGAAACCATCACGTCCTATGCAGAATGGGGAATGGGATTTCAACGGCAAAAGAATTGGGCGGTGGATCGGTTCATCTGTTTCTATACAGAATGAATACAAGTCGCGTGCTGAGATATTATTGCCCAATGGATCACTCCTACTGAAATCACTGAAGTCCTCAGACAGTGGGAAGTACACTGTTACCATGGTCCCTGCAGTGGGTGGTCCAGCATCAGCGACCCTCACCCTGCATGTAATTGGTAAACTGCATGTTCTATTGCTCTGTGCCCTGGGGTTATCTGCGTTGCTGAGGTGTGCTGGGGGGAGGTGGGAACGCGATTTTCAGGAGTGGTTTGCTCTGTGTACATTCGTGGTTGCGGGTTGGGGGTACCTTCAATCTTGCTCCGAGTTCCGCTCACCCAGAGCTGTGCACTGCTGTTATGTATGGCTCCTGAACACCGAGACAGGTTTCTCTTCCTTTTCCAATGTCTCCCATCAGAGGTTTGCTTCTGGGCAGTCCAACTTCACATGGGTCATGGAAACAGATATTGGAGTGAGGTGGGGAGAAGCTGGGGGTGGAGGACAGAAACCATGAGAGGGAGGATTGGTGGGACAGGATATCAGTGACTGTACCTGAGCAAGTTTCCTTAATCGTTCTGCCTTGTAACGTGGCCGTCACTTACAACGGCCGCTTTGTGGCCATCCTCATTGCTCCTTCAGCTTAAGGACCACTTACTGGGGAGGACATAACCTCGTGGTATAATCCCTGGACTGTCAATGCAGAAACCTGGGTTCTTCTATGAGGTGGAGTTCAAATCAGCCGATGGTGGGATTTGAATTCAATAAAAAAATCTGGAATGAAGAGCCTCATGGTGACTGTGAAACCATTTTTGATTAAAAACCGAAAAAACTGCGGATGCTGTAGATCGGAAACAGCAACAAATTGTTGGAAAAGCTCAGCGGGTCTGGCAGCATCGGTGGAGAGAAATCAGAGTTAATGTTTCAGATTGAGTGACCCTTCCTCAGAACCATTTTGAAACCGACCTGAAATGTCAACTCTGATTTCTGTTCATAGATACTGCCAGACCTGTTGAGCTTTTCCACAAATGTCTAGCATTATTGATCATCCAGGTCTGTGTGGGTGTGTGTGTGTGTGTGTATGTGTGTAGGTTAATATTCAGTGTTGTCCTTTAGGGAAAGAAATCTGTCATTCTTGTCTGATCTAACATATATGTGACTCCAGACCAGGAATTTGGTGGCTGTTAACTGCCCTTTGAGCAGTTAGGCATGGGCAATAAATACTGGCCAAGATGCCCACATCCTGTCAATGATTAATAAAGTCACCTGTATGAGAAACCAATACATGACATGGGATTCCTTCCCAAATTGACATCAGGATTTTTCCATTGATTACACTTTTTGATCCACCGGTATTATTGTACTGTACTGTCCACTGTCTTTTCCACGGCATCCATTTGCCACAAGCAAGGGTTTACATATTTTATGTTCATCATACAATATTAATCAGTAGACTATACATCATCACGCATATGCCTCGACAAAAATCATTTACTCTTCTAACTAACGCTGTCACGTGAACAAGGGGTAAATTTTACCTTTGAATCATTGCGTTTTCCTTTCATAGTACAATGCTGCTCTGAATTACAGTCATGTTTTCACCTTTTCTGAACCTAAAGGAGAGACAATCGTCATTATGTTGTTGGCAATTAATATCCACAGTGCCAAAAAGAGAGATTTTTCTGGAACAATGCCTAAACCATCGGAATAAGCTTAAATGCATGAAACACAATATTGTGATACAGCAGACACAACACAGCATGGAGTTGGAGGAACAGAGCAGGCCAGGCAGCATGAGAGGAGCAGGAAAGCTGACGTTTTGAGTCGAGACCCTTCTTCGGAAAATGCTGTGATACAGCATTTGTTTCACTTTAATATTTCTGAATCCTAAACACAATTTAAATGATCCGCAATGTTCCAATGTCATTGATGGTGGCTGCTACAGTAACACAGGAATTAAACAAACACTGTAGGAAAATCTTTTCTATGACATAATGGGGTTTGAACATCTAAACTTCCAACCGTCTAAGTATTCCCGCCCTTAGATGCAGATTGGAAATTGTCCTGCAAAAGTATTCACAGATAGACTTCGGACAGCTCCGGCTTTGGTAGCATCACACAAGTTGTTGATGCAAATCTGTTAGCTACAATAGTTTTAAAGGTTTGTGGCACTAATACGTCAATTAAATACGTATGCGCAAGTACACGAGGTTCAGCCAATGTAAACTGATGGGATTATTTTTTAAATTGCTTTCAAAGAGCTGGAACATGTCTGCAGGCCACAAAGTTTCATTTCTCCTTCTGAAACTTTCCTCTGAATTAACACTCAGCATAGACACAATTACTTCAATGTTAAATACAAGATACCCAACATAATTATTACGCAGGAAGCGATTGTTCTGAGAACAGTGCCTGCAATGCCGCTATTACTCAGCGTTAATCTGCCTTTTCCCCAAAATCCCTGCACACCATTGCCATCCAAATAAACAGCTAACGCCCTCATTAGCTCCGTCTGTCCTCAATCACAACCTCACCCCTGTTTGTTTCAGTGACTGAAGCATGAAGACAGCAATCAGTTGATAAGGGAAAAAAAAGGTCAAGTTAAAAAATGCCACTGTCATTTTAGAGAATTCAATCTTGGGTCAGGTTTCCGTTCAACTCCTCCTCCCATTCCTCAGACGACATGTCCATCCTGGGCCTCCTGCAGTGCCACAACGATGCCACCCGAAGGTTGCAGGAACAGCAACTCATATTCCGCTTGGGAACCCTGCTGCCCAATGGTATCAATGTGGACTTCACAAGTTTCAAAATCTCCCCTCCCCCGACCGCATCCCAAAACCAGCCCAGCTCGTCCCCGCCTCCCTAACCTGTTCTTCCTCCCACCTATCCCCTCCTCCCACCTCAAGCCGCACCCCCATCTCCTACCTACTAACCTCGTCCCGCCTCTTTGACCTGTCTGTCTCCTCTCCACCCATCTTCTCCTCTATCCATCTTCTATGCGCCTCCCCCTCTCTCCTTATTTATTTCAGAGCCCCCTTCCCCTCCCCCATTTCTGAAGAAGGGTCTAGGCCTGAAACGTCAGCCTTCCGGCTCCTCTGATGCTGCTTGGCCTGCTGTGTTCATTCAGCTCTACACCTTGTTATTTCCGTTAATGATGTTTTTTTTCTCTCATTATGCCCCAAGAGTTGCAGATCCAGACCGAACACAGTTGGATTAATGTGAGTATTGGAGAAACCGCACTTTTTTCAGTGAACCCATCACTTACTGTGAAGACTGGAAACTGGGATTTCAATGGGAAAAATATCGGGTTGTGGATCGGTTCATCTGTTTCTCTAAGTGAGCAATATGAATCGCGTGCTGAGATTTTATTGCCAAATGGATCACTCCTGCTGAAATCACTGACGTCCTCAGACAGTGGGAAGTATACTGTTAACATGGTCTCTGAAGTGGGCGGCCCAGCATCAGCGACCCTCACCCTGCATGTATTCGGTAAGCTGCATGTTCTATTGCTCTGTACATGGGGTTGTCTGCATGGTGGGGGTGGTGAAGTACGTGATGTTCAAGAATGTTTTGCTGTGTGCGCAGTCGAGGTGGCAGGGAGCGAGCTTCAAACTCATTCCGAGTTCCACCCACCCAGAGCTGTGCACTTAATATCACTGTCACGTATGGATCAGGAACACCGAAACAAATTTCCCTTCCGTTTCCAATGTTTCCCACCAGGGCCTTGGCTTCCGGGCAGGCCAACGTCACATGGGATATGGAAAAAAATATATTGGAGTGGGTGGAAGGTTTAGTTGGAGTTAGGATTAGGGTTGAGATAGAGGGCAGACTTCACGAGAGAGATAATGAAAGTTAGGAACAAAAATAAAGTTGCTGGAAAAGCTCAGCGGGTCTGGCAGAACTTCTGAGGAAGGCTCACCGGACCCGAAACGTTAACTCTGTTTTCTCCTCCACAGATGCTGCCAGACATGCTGAGCTTTTCCAGCAACTTTGTTTTTGTTCCTGATTTACGGCATCCGCAGTTCTTTTGGTTTTTATAATGAAAGTTAGGTAAGTTTTGGAAAATTTCTGGGCCTGAATATCAGTGAGTGTGCCTGAGCGAGCTTCCTTAGATTTTCCGCCTTGTAACATGGGTGTCACTTGCACTTCCTGCGTTGTGGTCATCCTTAATTGCCCCTTCATAAGGACCATTGCTTGGTGAAGAGGTGGACTAGTTGTGTCACCGAAAGACTATTGCTTCAAGAACCGGGGTACTATTCTGGAGACCCGGGTTCAAATTAGTGCCTGGTGGCATTTGAATTCAATAGAAATCTGGAATATAGAGCCTCATAGTGACCCTGAAACCATTGTTGATAATCAGGATGGGGGAGAGGGTTCATGTTCATTGCTGTCCTTTAAGGAAGGAAATCTGTCATTCTCGTCTGGTCTGACATATATATGACTCCAGACCAGGAATTTGGTGACTGTTAGCTGCCCTTTGAGCAGTTAGGCATGGGCAATAAATGCTGGCCAAGCCGGCGATGCCTACATCCTGTGAATGATAAAAAAAAACAATTGGCAGTTTATGGAAAATCATGTGACTGACGGTCTGGAGTCACCTGTATGAGAAACCAATATATGACATGGAAAGTCTTCCCAAATTGACATCAGAATTTTTCCATTGATTACACTTTTCATCCACCGGTATTATTCTACTGTACTGTCCACTGTCTTTTCCACGGCATCCATAGGCCACAAGCAAGGGTTTACATATTTTGTGTTCGTCATACAATACTTATCAGTAGAATATACATCATCGTGTATATGCCTTGACCCACCATTTGCTCTTCTAACTGAAGCTATCATGTAAACAAGAGGGGTAAATTTCAACTTTGAAACATTGCATTTTTCTTCAATATTCATGTGAACTGTGAGGAGTACAATGCTGCTCTGAACCACAGGTATCAATCATAGAATCCCTACAGTGGAAACAGGCCCTTCGGCCCAACAAGTCCACACCAACCGTCGGAGCATCCCAACCAGACTCCTACAACCCAATCACTCTACGCATCACTGAATACAACGGGCAATTTAGTGTGGCCAACCACCTCGCCTGCATATCTTTGGATTGTGGGAGGAAACCAACGCAGACACAGGGAGAATGTGCAAACTCCACACATCGAACCCGGGCTCCCGGCACTGTGAGGCAGCAGTGCTAACCACTGAGCCACTGTACCGCATATGTTTTCACCTTTTCTGAGCTTAAGGAGTGACAATCCTCATTAGGTTACTGGCAATAATCAGACTTTTTCACAATACAAAAACCATCAGAATAAGCTTAAATACATGAAATGGAATGCTGTGATACAGCATTTGTTTCAGGTTAATATTTCTGAATCCTAAACATGATCTAAATGTTTTGAGATAACAAGGTGTACAGCTGGAAGAACACAGCAGGCCAAGCAGCATCAGAGGAGCAGGAAAGCTGACATTTCGGGTCTAGACCCTTCTTCAGACCCTTCTCCGTCTGTCCTCAGTCAGTGAGAATTACATCTTCTCCCTGTTTGTTTCAGTGTTTGAAGCATGAAGACAGCAATCAATTAATAGGGAAATAAACTGGTCAAGTTTTTCTGAAGAAGGCTCTAGACCCGAAACGTCAGCTTTCCTGCTCCTCTGATGCTGCTTGGCCTGCTGTGTTCATCCAGCTGTACACCTTGTTATCTCAGATTCTCCAGCATCGGCAGTTCCTACTATCTCTCATCTAACTGTTTTGTAACGTTCCAATGTCATCTATGACATCTTCTGCCGTGACACAGTTAATTACCAAAACACTGCTGCAGAACCTCTTCTGTGACCTAATGGGTTGCAACATCTGAACTTCCATCTGACTAAACACATCCCTGTCATTAGATATAGATTGGAAATTGTTCTGCACTGGCATTCAGAGCAAGACTTTGGCAAGCTCATGTTTTGGCAACATTGCACAAGTTGTTGATGCAAATCTGTTCGCTACAATACAACTAGTTTGTGAAGGTTTGTGGCACTGATATGTCAACTAAATATATATAGACAACTACACGACAGCCATTGCATGCTGATGGGGTTACTTTTCAAGTTGTTTTTAAAGAGCTGGAACATATCTGCTGGCCACAAAGTGTCATTTCTCCTTCCACAAACATCCTCTGAATTAACACTCAGCATGGACATAATTACTTCAGTGTCAAGTAAAAGGTATCCAACACAATTATTACCCTGCAGGGAGAGGTTATTCTGCAAACAGTGTCTGCAATGCCTCTATCATATAGTATTAATCTGCTGCCTTTCCCCCAATATCCCTGCACCGCCTTACTATCCAAACAAATAGTTAATGCCCTCATTAGCTCCGTCTGTCTTCAGTCAGTGAGAATTACATCTTCTCCCTGTTTGTTTCAGTGATTGAAGCATGAAGACAGCAATCAATTAATAGGGAAATAAACTGGTCCAGTTTAAAAAAAAATAGCCATTGTCATTTTAGAGAAATCTATCTTGGATCAAGTTTCTGTTAATGATGTTTATTTTTTCATTGGGCCCCAAGTGCCGCTGATCCAGACCGAACATAGGTGGATTAATATGAGTGTCGGAGAAACTGCATTGTTTTCAGTGAAACCATCAGCTGCCGTGAAGAATGGGCAATGGAATTTCAATGGGATGAATATTGCGCTGTGGATCAATACATCTGTTTTTCTAAGTAGTGAATATCAATCACGTGCTGAGATTTTACTGCCAAACGGATCACTTCTGCTGAAGTCAGTGACCATTTTAGACAGTGGGGAGTACACTGTTATCATGGTCCCTGAAGTGGGCAACCAAGCATCGGCGACCCTCAACCTGCATGTACTTGGTAAGCTGCATGTTGTCTGTGTTAAAAGGGGGGGTTGCATGATGTTCAGGAATGGTTTGCTCTTGCTCTGTGCACAATCGAGGTGACAGGGGTGGGGGAGTTGGGGGCGAGCGTCATTTGGTCAAACATAATGGGATTAAAGGCAGATAAGTCCTCTGGTCCAGATGGCTTGCATTCCAGGATCCTAATAGAGGTAGCTACAGAAAAAGTGGATGCATTGGTTGCAATGTTCCAAACATCTATGGAATCTGGAGACATGCCAGAGGACTGGAAAACTGCCAATGTGACACCATTACTCAAAAAAGGAGGGAGTCGAAATGCAGCAACGAATCAGCTCAACATCTATTGTTAGACAAGTATTATAATCAGTTGTTATGGAGGCAATGATAGAACATTTGGAAAATCATAACCTAATCAAATTGAATCAGGTATGTAATTCTTTGAAATTTGCATCACAGGTAGACAGAGTGGTTAAGAAAGCATCTAGCATGCTTGGCTTCATTGGTCAGACCTTTGATTATAGGAGTTGGAACATCATGTTGAGGTTGTACAGGAATGGAGGGTTGAGTTATAAAAATAGGCTGGAAAGGCTGTGGCTTTTTCACTGGAGCATAGGAGGTTTAGGGGTGACCTTACTGAGGTTTATAAAATCATAAGGTGAATAACAAAGATCTTTTCCCTAGGATGGGCATGTTCAGAATCTCTTTGGCTTCAATGAAATGTAGATGCATCCCAATGCAAAATGGGCTGTAGTATCTACATCAGGAAAGTTGAGCATTCCTGGAAAAGCAATGCTCCTTAGACACCTCCTTTTTTTGCAGAAATTCACCAGCAGTTCTTAGACAGTATGTTCCAAACCCATGTCCATTCTGATCTAGAAGCAAATAGGCAGCAGATGCTTCAGAACACTGCCACCTGCAAGATACTCTCTGAGCCATTCACCATCCTGACCAGTAACCATATCACTGTTCCATTAAGGCCATTGGGTCAACATTATTGTACTTTCTCCTTGGAGTATTTTGGAGATACTTGCACCAAACAGACCCCAGCGGATCAAGATAGCAGCTCACCAATGCCTTCTCAAAGTCAAATAGGGATGCGAAATACATGCTGGCAAGAAACGTAATGCCTTTTTTTTAATGTTAAGAGTTTTGAAATTCTAGTTATCAAGTAATTGAGATTGCATTCAAAGCAACTCCGCACTTGATTCAGCCTGTAAGATCTGTAGAAGGAAGCATTAAATATTTGATTTTACCAAGAGCACAAAAGTCTATTATTTGGTCATTCTCAGAAGTTAGTTTCTTTTCTTATTTTTCATGGATTGTGGACATCACTGCAAAGACCATCATGTGTTGTCCTGGTGCTCTGTAGCTTTCATAACTATGACAGAAGGCATTTCAGAGATCCATATTACTGCAGTACGGGAGTTACATGTAAGACAGACCGTGAAGGACAGCAGAGTTCCTTTCATGAAGGAAATTTGTGAACCAGAGGATTTTTACAATTGATAACATTTTACATTCAACATCACAGAAGCCAGCTGTACATATTTGAGATTTACTCACTGAATGTAGCTGTCACAAACTCTCATTTCATTAGCCAGCCTCACAATTACAGGTCTAATGACATTACTACTATGTTTCCGTCTTATGAGCCATGTATGTAAGTAAAGTGACTGTTAAGCTCTGGAAGTTGCAGTTGTAGCCATTTTATTACACGATTCTTCAATACCTCTTCCTGTTGCATTTTCAGATCAGTTAAATTCCGGGAATAATATCAGTGATGGTGCCATAGCAGGCATAGTGATTGCTGCTCTTCTTTGTCTGGGTTTTATCATTGCAATCAGTGCATGGTTAATCAAAAGGAAATCAGAAGGGTAAGTACATGACATAACGTTTTCCTTGAAATTTACTATCTTCTTCATGACCAGGTAATTTTAAATAATGTGGATCTGTAAAAGCTTGCTTCGTGATATTTCTATATCAATCATAGATAAGTGCAAAGTATGTCTACACTGGCAATGTTGATGTTTTATATGTTGCATTGATAAAAACCTTTCTCTGTGTTCACTCCTCATTTTAGTTCAACAAAAAACTCTTTTTAATGTTGATGCAGTGATATGGTTTTAAATTGCCAATACTGAAGCTGCAATGTAGAAAATCTCCTAGATTTCATCAATTTAACTCTGCTTCTAAGCAGTTTCAAATTTTGACTTTTGACCAGTTGTAACAATGTAAATGACAGGCTAAACTAATTCAAGTTATGCCTTAATGTCCTGATCATTTTGTTTGTTCAATCCATCATTATCTGAAGTATTTGGGCTAAATTCCTAATATGAAAGGTTGCCACTGAGTAATAAATTTGTGCTTTACACTTTGAAAACAAATAGTTTTCATGAACTATAACATGTTAACAGTAGAATTTCTGTTCCAGGTCATAACAATTACAACACAATAGTCTCGTGAAAAGCTTACAATTTTCTATTTTGCACAATATTTGTTTAGAATGAAATCTCCAAAACAAGGGCAAAATACTAGCTCTGTGGAAAATGGTAAGTGAATTATTTCATCATTTCCATGTTGCTATGATAATACAAGACTTAAGAGTGTTTGCTGATTTGAAGTTAATTTGATGAAGCATGTATCATACTGACTTGAATGTTCATGTGTGCAGCTACATTAGGATAGGTTAATGTAACAATTGCTGCCACATGCTTTCCAATTGAAATCATTGCAAAACATAACTAAAGCCCTGTTTGGAATGATGATTTCAGCATTTGTATGAATCAGTTCTTTTAATAATAAATTTGTTGCTAAGTAACAGTCCTTTATATAATGCATATTCTATTGCAAATTCTATGACTTTCAAATCACACAGTCTCAATTTCTAACCTATTTTCACATTTTGTTATATTTTTCACAACATTGTGTATTCCTTTATTCTCAAAGCCTAACAGATTCAGCCTAACAGCCTAATAGTAGCATAGAGAGCATATCTTGATATGGATGCTATATACAATCTAATTATTTATTATTTACCAGTCAGGAATTCAGTCTGTAACTTCAGTCAACTCTGATACAGCCATATTATGTTTTATTTGTAATTACCATAATGGTTTGAGTATTAAAATGACAACCAGGAATCAACACCCTACTTCACAGCACAACAAATGTATTTTGCAAAATGGAAATTCAGATCTTGACTCTTATCACGTAGTTAACATGAACATGTGCAAGAAGAATCCAGGGTATTGTTTGGTTAGTTGACCTTCTTTGCCTTCTTTAATTGGAACAATTCCAAGTATAAACTTTGATCCTATATTCACTGCAACTACTAATAATGACGAAGTTAGGGGATACAAAACTCATTCAAAAACCAGCAAGTGAATAATGAGGAATAGCAGTTTCAATTTCACACGTTGTAACTCAGTTATTCTAAATATATTGAATTTAGAATTATCCATTGTTTTAGACTCAATGGTACCGCCTGGAATGTTGTTACAATAGTTCCAGTGATGTCAGTTTACAGTTCATCGGAGCAGTGAGGACAGTGGGTTGATTTTCCTGGATGATGGAGGTGAATAGCAGATTTGACAGCTGCATAAAATTTTGTAGAAGAAAGAATGAAAAGCTGCGATCCTCCATTTAATGTTAAATAAATAGCAACTAAAAAGTTGTCATTTTTTTTCTAAAATGAGATTGAGCTGTGAGACTTTGCACTTTGCTTTCAGACTTTGAGTTGCTCAGATCTGGAACTCAGACTGAAATGTTGTTTTAAACAAATTGCATAGGAATGCACAAGAAAACTGGATAAATATTTAGAGGAAAACTGTTGACTATGCTGCGATAAAATAACAGGGGAATGAGTTTAACTTTATCACTGAAAGGTGGTACTTGCATGGAAGGATAAAAAGCTTCCTTTGCTATTTTGACATTCTGTGTCTCTGCAATTATCCATTCATTGTAAATTAATTACCTTGTATTCTCAGACCACTCTGCAGCACCCAGTGAGATCTATGAAAATATTCCAAATAAGAAAAGGTTGGTACAATTATTATAATTATGTTTGTTCAATTAATATGCAGTTAAAGTGCTGTGTGCATTAATCCAAAAATGACCCATGTGCACAGTGTAAAATAGCTATAGCTCCACCAGATCATAGGGCTGCTCTCTCATTAGAGACAGTCGATTGGTAGTGGTTTAACCTGTGGGTCACCATGTCTCAGGCAAGGGCAGAAATTGGGAAGGCGAATCCTTCATGGTAACCTCAACTTGGTGAAGCAATTAAAATGATCTTGTTGCTATCACTCTACATTGCAAACCAGCCATCCAGCCAATAGAACTAACAGAACGTCCAGGTCAAGATATAGTACTGGGTTGAATGTTCAATTCTGCCACTAAAATGAAGTTGAGTGCTGTGGAAACTGAATATTAATTGAACTGTTGCCTTTCATGTTGTATTGAGCAGCACACTGGCACAATTGTGTGCATTGCTGCCTCAAGGGCATAGGTTTGCTTTGAGCCTTGGGCGACTGTCTGTGTGGAGTTTGCATGTTCTTCAGTGTTTGCCTGGGGTTCCTCCGCGTGCTCTGATTTCCTCCCACAGTCCATAGATGTGCAGGTTAGGTGGATTGGCTATGCTAAATTGTCCGTAGTGTCCAGGGATGTGCAGGCTCAGTGGGTTAGCAATGGGAAATATAGAGGTTTGGGTGGAATGCTGTTCGGAGGGTCAGTGTGGACTTGGGCTTAATGGCATGCTTCCACACAATAGCGATTCTAAGTGAATAAGTGTGCCATGCGCATGCTTCCCCTCTTTAGAATTAAGCACCAAACTCCTATGGACATTTTATTGTTTGTACATATGATTTATGGTTTTAGACTGCCAAATTTATTTATTGTCCTACATTTGCCTAATTTAATCCATATCTGAACTGCAACTGTATACAAAATATCCCTGATTTGCACTGTATAGCTGTAATGATTAAAAACTGTGTACATGAACATACAGAATACTGTAATGCTACTGTATCAAGTGACTGATCTTTTAGGTGGCTCACTGTTAAAATCTTCACAAAGAAACAAATATAAATCAATTGAGGGGATGTGAACATCTTCAGTTATATTTATCATAAATTTAAAAAGTGCTTGGAAAATTTTATGCTTTGCCAAGCAAAAATATTTGGAGACGAATTCACATTGACAAGATTATTAAGAATTGCATCTCTAACACTAAAACAATGCATTAATGGACTGTTGAATTTCTCTATTTAAACAAGAAATGAAGAACCTATCATGTAACATCTGTGCACCATATTTCAGCTTCTGATTTAATCATCAAACGTGAAAGACATGCAAAACTTTGAGTTCGGAGATAGTAGGAACTGCAGATGCTGGAGAATCTGAGATAACAAGGTGTAGAGCTGGATGAACACAGCAGGCCAAGCAGCATCAGAGGAGCAGGAAGGCTGACGTTTCGGGCCTAGACCCTTCTTCCTTTTCTGAAGAAGGGTCTAG